CTTGGAAAGGGGCATGAGAGGAGATGAGGGAGGGAGGGTGGGATTAGGAGGGAATGAGGGAGGGGGCTACGGCTGGGATACGAAGTAAATAACCTGTGATTAATATAAAAAATAAAAATTAATAAAAAATAAATAAAATCAGGAAAAAAGAAAAATAAATAAATTATCAATACTAAAAAAAAAAACCCAAACAAACAACAAAAAAACCTTCTCAGCCACTTTCAAGTATGTCAGTGTTTTGAGTTCCGGCAGTCCATAGGAGAAAGAGAGGCGCTGCAGGCTGTATTTCAGCTTCTACAGGAGAGTGGAACGGCCTCTGACTCAACAACTAACTGCTTTGCAGAAGCCTCTTTATTTACACAAAAGGCACTTTTAGCAAGTCAGTGTCCCCATGCCAAAACCTCTTATCTCATCTAGGTCTGAAGGAACCATTACCTAAGCAATTCTCAGACATAAAAGGCTTCCTGGTTACTAAGTTACACAAAGGCTCTGTGACTCCTTCAGGAAAAGCAATTCCAAAGCCTCTGGTAACAATCTCTGACTATTTACAAAAGGTTTCTTCAAAGCCTAGGTGCCATCACCCTAGAATTCATGCAGCATAATCGGAGGGTGGTGACGCACGGCATCATCCCAGCACTTGGGAGGCAGGCAGATCTCTTAAATGTGAGGCCAGCCTGGTCTACAAAGTGATTTCCAGGATAGCCAAAGCTACACAGAGAAACCCTGTCTCAAAACAAAAACAAAAACAACCCTGCAATATAAGTGTTCTAATCTGTTGCTCTGAAGGGCTGTACCCTCTGACCAGCATCTCCCAGATCCAGGGCATCTTCTCATCATCCCTGAGACCCCTGTAAGTGTTAAGGGCACTCCCCACCTAGTGTCCCACCCATAGTACCAGCAACTAAAGCACATTCTGCTTCTGTAGCAGTCATTCTGCACGTTTCTGTTGAAACGAATCATACAGCATTTGGCTCTTTATGACTGGCTTCTTTCATCCAACCTACTTTAAATATTCACCCATGCAGCATGGACGGCCACTTCATTGTTTTGGTAATTCGGTAATAATTCATTGTGTGGCTGTACAACACCCTGGTTACTTTTTTATTATCAGCTGATTTTTTGAAAGATTACGTTTATCTATTTGGGGAACGGGCGTGCAGGTGTAGAGATGAGACTGGTTTTCAAGTGTTGGTTCTTTCCTTCCACCATGGGGGATCAGTTCTAGGGATCAAACTCAGGCTTACTTCAAACTCATTATCTGAAGATGGCCTTGAACTCCTAATCCTCCTGCCTCTACCTCCTGGGCACTGGGCTCATAGGGCTTCACTAGCAGGTAGACATTAGTTTGGTTTGGTTCCTCTTGAGGTTCTTTTTCTCTTTTGACTACTCTGAACTGCACTGCCTGAACTCTTTGAACAGGCAATCTTTCATTTCTCTCGGATGGCACCTAGGAGTGGCATCACTGAATCATATGGAACTCTGTATTTAACTTTCTGTGCAACTGTGAATTTTTCCAAACTGGCTCCGTCATTTTCCTAAAATGTTAATACTTGTTTAGTTTTCTTCATGACCTGAGTCTGACCTCTAGGCCTGTCTTTAGGCACACAAGGTAGTTTCACTGACAAATTCCACTCACAGCTTGGCTCTGCACTGGCTGCACGCTACTTCTCACCTCCTAGCCATTCTTTTCTGCATCATTTGCCTGACTAGCCAGTCATCCTCCACCCCTTCAATATTCCTTTAAGATAACTTAGTGGTTGCTTACTCCAGGAAGCCTTTCTAGCTCTGCCAGGGGGACAGAGTTCCCTCCTGCCTGCATCTATATACTAATTTCCCACTGAGTTCCTAACCCTGAACATGTCCAAGATCTACTTCAAGCACCGTGTCTTCAACAAACACCTCTTGGGGGCTGAGGATATACCTCAGTGGTAGAACATATGACTAACACATGAAGCCATAGGTTTACTCCACAATAACACATAGGAGGGGGGAGGCGTGCGCGCACACATATACACACACACTCACAATTTTCTAATCTCTTAAAAAAAAAAACAAAACTCATGCAACTCTACTTTTCCTATGCAATTACTATATGCAAATGTGTACCTTGTTTACATACAAAACACCAGAAGGATGAAGTCTATTTGGAGGCAGAAGATAGCCCTGCCTTTGTCGTTTATATGCCTCCCAGGTCCTCACACACAATGATTCAGTGTTTATTGAAGGAAAATGCTGCCTACTGTTCTGTTCCAAAAACAATACAGCTCTGTGCTTCAAAGACGTTTTGTATCTCACAGCAGGAAGAGTTTTATACAGGCTTGTGGAGTTGAATTGTTAACTCCCTCTTCACTAACAATCACAGATTTTGTTAAAACATTTCTTCTTCCTTTTCTATTTTTTTTTTTTAAGATGGGATTTCATTGTGTAGCCCTGATCTGCCTATCTCTGCCTCCTGAGTACTGGGATCAAAGGTATTTGCTACCATGCCTGATGGCACCAAGACTTCCTAGCCTCATTTTTGAAATTTTTTTAAAGACTTATTTATTTATTCAATATTCTGAATCCATGTATGTGTACACATCAGAAGAGGGCACCAGATCTCACTATAGGTGGTAGTGAGCCACCACATGGTTACTAAGAATTGAACTCAGGACCTTTGGAAGAAGGTCCTCAGCCTCTGAGCCATCTCTCCAACACATTTTAGCCTCATTTTATTAAGCCTTGTCACTTCCATTTTTGCCCTTTGGGATCAGGTCTCTAAGTAAGCAAGCCCAACAGAGACTGAGTAATAAAACCTTGTGCAAAAAGAACTTCAGCAGAGGCTGGAGAGTTGGCTCAGAGGTTAAGAGCACTTCCTGTTCTTGCTGTGGTCTCATTTTGTTCTCTAAAATAATCTCAACTACCAATTGAGTCAGTAAACATGAGTGAAGATGTCTTAGACATGTCAGCCCCAGGGAAGCCCACTGCTGAATTATGGCCTCATGATCAATGAAACAGGACTAACGAACTAAACAACAACAAAAAAAAAAAACTCAGAGAAAATTGATGTTATTTTCAGTCATCACTTTTCAGAATGGACTGTTATATAAAAGCCCTGTCTCAAAAAACAAAACAAAATTGTTTTACATGTTTTACTTGCAAGTATGTTTGTGCATCATGTGTGTGTCTGGTCTCCAAGGATAGCCCAGAAACTGGAGCTACGGACATCTTTGAGTCACCATGTGTGTGTTGGGAATTGAACCTGGGACATCTGAAGATCAGTCCCTGGAAGATGGCTCTCAACTAATGAGGCATCTCTGCAGGCCCCAGACTGTCTCAGAAACCAAAACAAACAAAAAAAGAGCTTGCTTGAAAGGAAATGGATGCAAGGAAAGTTCCTTGGAACACCTGGAATATCTTTTTGTAATTTCCAGACTTCTCACTGGAAAAAAAGATGTATGAAAAATGTCATAATGAGGCTGAGTCTGGTGGTGCAAGCCTTCAATGCCAGCACTAAGGAAGCAGAGACAGGTGGATCTCTGTGTCCACAAGATTAACCTGGTCTACACAGTGAGTCCCAGAACAGCCAAGGTTTCATGGAGACCCTGTCTCAAAAAGCTAAAATAACTACATAAAAAATTAAAAAGATAGATGTCATAATGAAACCTATTTATTATAGATAAATAACATCATAATGAAACCTATTTTTTTTTTCCAACTGATATTTATACTAACAAAACAAAAATCCAGGCAGAGGATATAGTTCACTGTAGAACAAGTACCTTTGGAATATTCAAGCACTATCACACACATAAGTTTCTTAGAGAAGTCCACACACACATACTTTCAAGTGTGTTTACTTTCATCTGAGCACCTCTCACAGTCCTGGTGCTTAAGCTTATTTTTAAAATATTAAATTTCATAATGCCCTTTTTTTTTTTTCTTGAAAATAAAGTATGGTAGCACATACTTGTAAGCTCAGCATTTGGAGGTGGAGATAGGAAGATCAGGAGTTCAAGTATAGCCTTAGCTACCTAGTAAGTTCCTGGCCAACCTGAGCTATATGAGACTTTGTATCCAGAAAACAAATTAAAACCAAAACCATGCATAGAAGTCCAAGATTTATCTCTACCAATCAGCTGTAGTTTGGGATGAGGCTTCTAATGGGTAAATGCGTACTCTCACACAGCAATTGATATTTCTATTAAAAAGGTGAGAAAGGCCAGGTATGGTGGCACACACATTTATCTCGGCATTTAGGGGACAGAGGCAGCAGGATCTGAGTCATAGGCCAGCCTGTTCTATATAGTGAGTTCCAGGCCCTGTCTGTCTTGTGTATGTGTGTCTGTTGTCATCCTGTCCCCCCACTTTTTTTAAAGGAGGAGCAATTCAGTTTGTAGAGTATTTGCCTAGCACACAGGAAATCCTGGGTGTGATCTTTAATACTCCATAAAACTGGGTGTGGTTCAAGGTAATCCTGTCTACTCAGACAAGTTCAGTCAACTTACTTTGATGAGAGCAGTACAGAGTGTAATTTCACTTTCCCAGTTCATTTTGGTGTAGCAGAGTCTTTAGAAACACCTGCGTCATTACACTTCCAAGGGTCTGGGGAGCTCAGTGGCAGAGCATTTCCCTAGAACAAGCATTGCCCTGGGTTTCCTCTCCAAGATTACAGAAAACAATTTTCTTTTCAAATCATACACCAGGCTTGGTGACACACCCTGCAGTCCCAGCATTCGGTGAGGCAGAGGCAGGCAGATCACTGTGAGTTCGAGGCCAGCCTGGGCTACAAGTCGAGTCCAAGACAGCCAAAGCTACGCAGAGAAACCCTGTCTCAAAAAAATAAAAAATAAAAACATACACGAAGGGCCAATGTCATAAACTGCCAACGATAAAATCATTCTAATTGTCATACTTCTGAAGGTCAACACTGTAACTGGGCTATAAGTAAGTAGTCTTAACACAGGACCCTGTGACTTAGGGATGAGACTTCAGTCTGCATGAATGTAACACTGTGCATATCAGATTTCCAAAGAAGCCCCATTTTATTATAGACAGCACACAAAGCTCTTTCCTGGCTGGTGTAAGTCCTAGTCCCCCTCTCCGGGGCGACAAATGTTTTGCTCCAGAGTTGCCCGTTGTCTGTTCTATCGGTGCTTCCCTTTTCGGTTAAAGTGTTTGTAGAGATAGCTGATCCGTTTGTTGAGATTGTGCAGGTCGTCAGCGAACATTCTGCTTCCAACCATCCTCTTCTTTCGAATACAACGCTGCAATTCGTTTCCTCTCCAGCCTCGAAGCCATACTGGGCCCTTTATCAGTTCTTTTGGGTGCTTTTCGAAATTCCCTGTAACGTGAGAGAATGGACTAGTTTCAAGAGAAGAGTAGGCAGCCTGGGCCAGTTAAGTCTTCAACCCGCAGCTGACATCTCCCTGAACAGAACTTAGACACAAGCACATCAGTAAAATGCAAAGTACAGAGGTACACATAAAGAAACAAACAAACACACAAAAACAGGCAAACACACATACACAAAAATCTTTAAAAAAACTTTGTAGCCAGAATGCCTGGGGTTCAAATACTGACACTACCATTTACTAGTTTTGAGCACTCATAACAGTGTACGAATAACTGTTGGTATGACTGAGCACCATCCTCTTCTGTGTAACAAATACAAACAAAATAGTCAATATAACATAATAATATCTCTGTAATTAGGAACCAAGCCCTACCCAGAATTCCGATGTTGTCGTATACGCCGAACAGAGCCCTCTTCTCGTTCCAGCGATCAACCACTTTGGGAGGTGGGAGAGTAACCCTTACTCGGGACAACAGTGGAACACCTAGGAACGGAAGGGATAAGAATGAATCGGAGCTGCCTATTAACAACCAGTTCGCGGGCCGTCCTACCAACACATTAGCCACTTACCCACAGAGAAGCTTCTGCACGCCAAGGGCATCCAAGCCCCTAGGCTCCTACCTGCCGCCCAAGGGAGACTCCCTGCCATTACTCTAGCCTGTCCACCTCGACAGGACACCAAACCAGCCGGAAAAACGGGGAGCGGGTGTGGATTTCAAAGACAAGACATGGGGCACAGTCCCAGAGAGGACTCACAAGGCATGGAAAGCGAGAGAAGCCATCTTGGGCCTTACCCAGGTACCATTGGGAGCTGACCCGCCACAAGCCCCGCCCTCCGAGGCAAACACTTCCGGTTCATTCCACGGACGCGTTGAACCGCTGCGGCACGTGTCTTGTCGCAGAGTAGGACGCCCCGAGACAGAAATTCCGTGAAAACAGCCCTCTCTGTCTCTCTGGGCGTCTTCGAGTGTGAGGGAAGTGGAGGATGGGAGAGCGGCGCTACGGCAGGGTCCTCGCGCCTCGTAACAGGGTTCTGCTGAGGCGGTGTATCCTTGACAGTTTACCGGGCAGGGATTTGAGGCGGGGTGCCTGGCTGGGCGCCACATGGCAAAGCCTGGCCTGGAGGAGGCCGCCTGGCTCTGCCTCTGCGGAGGGATAACGGGTCCCCTTTACCCACCGTAGAGCGAGCCCAGGCAGCGCGGAGCCGGGCCACGCCCCTCCCGGGCCGCGCCTCTTTTTAGGCCCCTCCCCTCCCCGGCCGCCCCGCCTTCTGCGCGGTGATTGGTCGGCTTCTCCAGCCCCGTCGCGATTGGCCTCCTGGCAGCCGTTGAGGTTTGAACGCCGAGTTGCGGGCTCTGCGAGCGCAGCGCGGGAGTCGGAGGCGGGTCTCGGCCTCAGCCCGCCGTCGGTTGGCTGGTTTCCCCGTCAGCTTGGAAAACCATCTCGCTGTTTGGCGCGTACCGGGCTCTGCTGTTTTCTCCCTTCCTTTTCGGCGGGTCGGTCGCCGGTCGGCGAAGCGGCGGGTGAGCGGTGCTGAGGTGTCCAGGTGAGGTGTGGTCGTGCCAGGAAGCGGGGAGTGAAAGGGCCGAGGAAAGCAGGTCCAGGACGTGACGCAGCCTTTGCCAGTGGGTGGCCGGCTGCGATGTCTGGTAGGGATGCCCTTGAAATCCGATGTGGCGAGCGATCTGACGGTCCGAAACGGAATGTGTTACGCGGGCAAATCGCATAACTGTCCTACTCGATCTGTAAATTTGCCTCGTTTCCTTACGCATCCCGTTAGGCTGAGATTGCGAGGGTTACGGAACCCGGCACAGGATAAGTAGATGCTAATGTTCTTCCATCCTGCAGCCAGGAACCCCGATACTGAAGGAGACAGCCTCTAAGGATCTTTCCATCTTAAAATGAAAGGAATAAAGCAGTTTGTACGCCTTGGTTGTCACTTAAGAGTTCTTTAGTAATTTTTGTTTTGTTTTGTTGAAATGTAGCCCTGGCAGCCCACTGCCCCCTGCGGCTCCCGCTGCTCCCAAACTCAGCAGTCCTCCAGCCTCAGCCTTCCAAGTTTTGGGTTTATAGGCATGTACCACCACACCTGGCTTGTTGCTTGTTTTTAACCCTTGATTCATCTGATCCCCAGAGTAACAGCATTTTACAGATGAGACTATGAGGATAGTGGCAAAGTTGTAACAAGAATCGTTTAGCTCTAGATTCTCAGCTAGAGTTGCTCTTCTAGTTGGGGGTGTTTCGAGACAAGGTCTCTTGCAACCCAGACCATGTAGTAGAGGCTGGCCTCGAGCTCCATCCTACTGATTCCCCAAATACTGGGAATATAATAAGCATTGCTACTTTGTGTGGCTCTGATCTTATATCTTACAAGATAATGTTAGTAGCTTGTTGTAAGATTGGAAAATGTTATATTTATATTGAAAGTGGGAGGAATAATTGAATCAGATGATTTCTGAGGCCGGGGTAGACTCAGTAGTGAAGTATCCGCCTAGCATCTAACATACCAAAGAGGCTGGGTTTGACTCCCAATACCACCAAAACAGGAAAAAAAAAAAAAAAAAAGAAAAAGAAGAAGAAGAAGAAAGAAATGCTCTTTCCACATAATAATAAAAACCAAAATACTCTTAGACCAAGACTTTTTGCTGTTTGGGTTCTAGGTGAACCAGTGGGAGAAGGATGTCTTCCCGAAACTTTGAATTCCATTTGCCCTTGTCCCCAGAGGAGCTGCTGAAAAGTGGGGGTATTAACCAGTATGTTGTTCAGGAGGTATTGCCTGTCAAGCATCTTCCATCTCAGCTTAAAGGTGAGACTCCTTAGCCACCACTCAACTTCAAAAGATAACCATCCTGGATGTAATCATATTATCATTTCTGTTTTACAGCACTGTGACCCTCTGTTGAGGCAGGGAATACTTTTCCTATTCCCTATTCTCTGTCTCTCTCTCTCTTTTTTTTTTTTTTCCTTGTAGCACTGCACAGGATTCATGACATAAATGTACTGGGCTATCTCCCAGTACATTTTGTATTACAGTTCTGGGTTATTCAGGAAACAGTTTGGTTAACCTAGTTGCTCTTTTAGAGAAAAAATATTTTTTTGTATTTTTACCCCTTACTGTGTACCAATGTAATGTCCTGATAAAATTAAGAATTCTAGGGCTGGAGAGCTGGCTCAGAGGTTAAAAGCACTGGCTGTTCTTCCAGAGGTCCTGAGTTCAATTCCCAGCAACCACATGGTAGCTCACAACTGTCTATAGTGAGATCTGGTGCCCTCTTCTAGCCGTGCACATGCAGAACATTGTATACCTAGTAAATAAATAAATAAATAAATAAATAAATAAATCTTAAAGGAAAAAAATACTTGTAGGCTAGGGGTTGGAGAGATGGCTTAGAGGTTAAGACCACTGACTGCTCTTCCAGAGAGCCCAGATTTGCATCTCAGCACCCACATGGCAGCTCACAACTGTCTGTAACTTGTGCGTGTGGTGTACACACACACACACACACACACACACCACACAGGCAAAACACCAATACACAAAAAATAAGTGCGTGAAGTTTAAAAAGTAAAGGATTACAGGCAGTAATAGTGGTCGACTGCCTTTTCTTAGAGAACATTGTATTAGAATCTAGATCATGTTTCCAAGGTGTGCAGTAGATGAGAACATAGCTGCCATAGCATACAAAATACAGTTTTTGTCACTTAAGAAATAGGGTGTGGGGAAGTATGTTTTGAGAAGCTAGATGATTCATTTTTATGGCAACATCATTATAGAGTATAGGAATACAACGTTTTTAGAGGGTATAGTTTATGGCACACTTCATGTTATATAAGTATATTATAGCCTGTTGCTTCTAGAGATGTGATGGAATAACATGGGATTAAATCAGTCCCAAGGGAAGGGCTGGGGACATAGCTCAGATTGTCGCATGCTTGCCTGGTGTGCATAAAGACCTAGATTTAATCCCCAGCACTGAATAAAACCAGATACAGTAGTGCACAAGTGTAATCCCAGTGCTTGGGAAGCCAAAACGGGAGGATGCCGAAAGGTCAAGACCAAGCTCTGGAGTAAGACAAGCAAAAGCCAAAAGTACTAGAGAAAAGAAGAGTCTGAGTATATGAGGCTGCTGTTAGAGTTAACACGGTGTTAGCATTTTTATAGTAAATTTATGGATAAAAGTATACTCTAAAATAGTTACAGTAATCACATAATCATAGCATAGTCCTTTATTATCAAGAATTATATACTGGACATAACTGTCTGTGCCAAACTTTTATATAGGATTTAAAGTGTAGAGTATGTTTGCATAAGTATCACCACAAACCTTATTGATGCACAGTGCAGATGGAACAGTGGCTACGACATCACTAGGCAACAGGAATTTTTCCGCTCCCTTGTAATTGCGTAGGTATACCATATATGTGGTATTGACAATGTGGCATGTGATTGTATATACAGTACAGTTACCTACTGAAGTAACAGCTTATAGATTATTAGGAAGACCCCAAAAAGCCACCATACCCCTGGGAATTAGCTTCCGCTGGGTTGCTTTAGAGAATCACGCATGGACTGAAGCTGCTGGAGCCAGCCTACCAGGGTTGATGCCTGGCTCTGCCACTCTGATCTTAAAGAAGTTACTTCTCTCTGCCTGGGTTTCTTCTAGAAAGACAGGAAAAACAGCCTGCTTCATCTGATCACTGATAACAGGATTGCTTAGCGAGTCCAGGATTGCTTATCTCTGGTTGGAAAGGACAGCTCTTTGCTGTGATGTTCAGAAATGGGAAAAGGCATTTCTGTCTCGTGCTTTCTTTTTTCAATTTTTTCTAGTTTTTTTATGAGACAAGGTCTCATGTAGCCCAGATCAGTCACACACTGAATATATAGCTGAGAGTGTCTTTGAACCCTAGTCTGCTTGCTGCTTCCCATCTGTTGGGTTAGCTTATCTTTCTCAGGACAGGAGATTGAACTAAGGAACTTGTACATGTAGACAAGTGCTTTACCGAACTACATCACCAGTCCTCTTGCTGTTTTCCTTTTGAGATGGTCCTGCTAAGTTGCCCAGGCTAGTCTTTTAGCCAAGTGAGGCTTTTGAGTTTTCAGTCCTCCCTCGGCCTCTCTTCGTAGTGACACTGTTGTCCAGGAGTGGCAGTGAATCTGTCCAGTGCCTAGAGCTTGGGTTTTTACCAACTCTTCTCCCATAAAATGAGTTAGAACTCCACCAAGAATTGCTGATTCCAGGCCCGAGCCAGGGAAATATAAGGTAACCCTGGAACGTCTTAGTGTGAGGAGCTAAGTAAATGCTCACTTCCACAGCATAGGTACCGCAGTTGGAGTGAGACAGGAAGAAGCATGGTCCATGAGACATTCCATATTTTTATCAGAGAAATATGGTGACTGTGACTAAAGTACATGACATTTGTGTATGAAAATGTGATGAGCCTGGCATGGTAGCTCATGCCTTTAATCCCAGCACCTGGAAAGGCAGGGGCAACAGACCTCTGTGGGTTCAAGGCCATCCTGATTGACCTAGTGGGGCTTCGTCCTGCCCCACCAAAAGAAAATGTAACAAAACCTACTTTGTACAATGAATATATGTTCATAATAACTTTGAAAATGAGTATGAACTAAAAGAAAGGGAAAAGGGAAAGCATTTCCACAAGGCCTTAATGAAGGAGCGTCCAGTAACCAAGTACAGAGGATCTGAGCAAGAAGATAAATAAATAGTGCTAAATACACAATGAAAGGAGGTTTGCAGGAGTCTAGTCTAATATAAGTAAATAATTAAAAGGGAAAGAGACTGCCTGTCTTTTGCAGTGG